CCGAGTGACTATTCTCAGGCTCAGGTTTAGGGCCAACGAGTCACAAGTCGGGAACCGATCTGGCGTGACTCGGGCAAAGACTGGACCTGTTGGCCAAGTGACTGTTCTCGAGCTCAAGTTTGAGGATTGACGAGTCGCAAGTCGGGGGACTGATCTGGTGCGACTCGGATGAAGATTGGGCGTCGTTGGGTGGCACGTCGGGGTTTGCATGGGTGCCATAGTGCCACATGGCATGCCGAGTGGAGCGGTGCAGGGCATGGCGGGAAATTTCCTATCACGCGTTGCTTCCGACGGGAGATCTCTCGTCACGAGCTGCTTTCGACGGGAGAGTCCTTGTCACGCGCAGTCTTTTGGTGGGAGATCTTTCGTCATGAGCTTCTTTTGGCGGGAGCTCTAGGGCTAGAGAATCTGGGGGATCCAGGGAGTTATGATGGGTTTTAAATACTGCGACCATCTCTCTCCTCGGAAGCCCAAACGTTACCTCGCGGTGGATTAGCCTGCTCATTATAAGCTTCTTCTAGAACAGTTGTCATCACTTTCTTAGTCCTTCGTCCTGCGCCCCGGCTCCTTCCTTCCAACCTTGAGGTCAGGATGTCTTTGTCTTCCTCTTCATCTTCTTCTTCCTCATCTTCCTCTTCTTCATCTTCGTCTTCCTCTTCTGGGGGCCCGGGGGTTGAGGTTGTCAGTTTATCTTCGGGTGGCACGCCTTCGAAGGCTGCAGGGAGTTCTATTGCGCTTGAAAACATCAAGTCGTAGCATGATATAGACTCGGTGGTGACCAAGGAACTTTTGGGGGCACTTTGGGATCGCTATTGCATCTCGAAGTGCTATGGTGTTCACGCCCCTCGGCTCGGTCAGTGGCCATACGATCAGTTTCCCAACGGATTTGGGCTGATCGTGGGTGCCCTCGAGGCGGGACTACGATTCCTGTTGCATCCCGTTATCGAGGAGTGCCTTCGTAAGTGGGGAATATCGCCATCCCAGATGGTGCCAAACTCTTAGTGCTATCTAGTGGCTTTTCTCGGGGAGTTTCGGGGAGCAGGGATCGAGCCGACCAGGACCCTCTTCCTGGCCTACTTCCGTTTGTGTAAGGGGCGAGGCGGGTATTACCTAACCACCCATACGATTTTAAGATTAGCGGCGCTCCTTCCAACAACAAGGTTTTGAAGAGTCGCTTCTTCTTCATCAGTTGTAGTCGGGGTGGGGATTCAGTACCGGATGGACTTCTCGAACCATCGACAATGTCCCCCCGTTTCTTTCTGTCGGAGAAACAACGGCCATGAATTGATTAAGGGGCATTTTATCCTCTTCCCGAGCAATTAGGGAGATGACCGAGGAGTGGCTGGTCGAGGCGAGACTGAGCCCAGCCACTGGGGTTATGGTCATTTGCATGTTATGGATCGTCTGTTCATCCTGAGCTAGCTAACCGACCGGGCTTTTGTTTGGAGAGATGGTGAACCTCCAGTCGGTGAAGAGGATGCTCATGCCAAGGTCATTGCGCCACCATCTCGAGGTGGCGAGGCTTCTGGTGCCGGGAGTGCCTCATAGAGGGGCATGCCAAGGAGGATGTCGGGGTCTCCGGAGGCAGGTCGCCTGGAGAAGAGGGCGAAAATCGAGACCCGGAAGATGTATGCGAGCTCAGCTACTCACGGGAGTGCCGTCCTAGAGTCGTCCAGGGCTGCTCCCCATGACGAGGGCTTGGGGAGCGCGAGAGGAAAGAGGGTGGCCGGATCGTCCTGTAGTGACCCCTTGAGGAGGTCACCGATGCGCCCAAAGTCTATGCGAGACTTATGCTACATCCATTCTCAAGCCGAAGGCGAGAAGTTCTAGGCCTTGAGCATGGCCGACCTCCCTGCTGGGGAGCTGGGCACCCCCTACGCCTCTTGGTGGGCGAACCTCAAGGCCGACAGTCGCATCTGGGCTGACGGGCCGAGAGCCCAGGAATTTATCCGGGAGGCGCTCCACCCGGCGCTGGCAAAGGAGCTCTATTGCTCCTCGGAGCTGCTGATGGACCGGGCAGCCAAGTCATTTGTCTGGGTAAGTAGTGCTGCTTTTCCCTTGTTTGGTCTTCCTTCGGTGTGTGGATTCTAACTCTGACCTTCGTGCAGGGCCAGCATTACACCATGGCGCTGATTGATCACGTTCGTGATGCCGGAAGGGTGATCGAGCGCCTCTAGGACTCCAACTCCGCTTTGCGCATGGAGGTCTTGGAGCTAAAGGTCGGAATGGGCCCAGAGGCCATCGCCGCGGCCGAATAGCGTGCCTCAACTCTAGGTGAGGAGGTGACTTGTCTGAAGGCCGAGCTGGAGGAAAGTCGAGTGCGTGTTCAGACGCTCCATGATGAGCTGCTGACCCTCTCTCAAGATGTTGAATCTGTCAGATCTTCTGCTTGGACCGCTGAGGAGATTCTGAAGGAGGAGGGCTTAGTGCTGCCTAAGAAGATCAACGGGGTGATCACCGAATACAAGTCATCCCCCGAGTTCGAGCGCGGCTTGGTTAGGTCGGGGCGGGTGACATATGAGTTCGAGTACCAGGTGGCTCATGCTCACTTTCGAGCGAGGTACCCGGACCTAGAACTAGAGTCCACCCCGTTTGCCGATCAACCGGAGGATCAAAGTGTCGACATGCCGGCGAGCGTCCCTTTCGACGACGGGCCCAAGACTCCTCCAAACTGAGAATTGTACTTTTTCTTTTTCGCTTTGGTCGAGTCAAATTTTGAGATTGTATTGCCCGACCACAATGTGTATTTCTTTTCATCAATGAAAAACTATCGTTTCGGCATCCTGGCTTCTTGTCTTGCCCGATCGCGGATGTGTATGCTTCTTTTGATCAATGAAACATATCTTTTCGGCACCTTGACCTTTTGTCTTTACAGATAGAATCTCTTTAAATTTGTCGCATTCCATATCCTTGGCAGAGGGTTTCCCTCTATAGTCTTAAGGTGGTAGGTCCCTTCTCGGACCACATCATAGACTCGATAGGGGCCTTCCCAGTTTAGCATGAGTTTACCCCTCGCTCGGGTCGGGTCGCTTACCTCAGCCTTTCGAAGGATGAGGTCTCTGACCTTGATCGATTGCGGGCGAACTTTGCAGTTATACATCCGAGTCATAGCCTTTTTGTATGCCAAGGTTCACAAGTGTGCCTCGGCTCTTCTTTCTTCAAGGAGATCTAGGTTTGCTCATAGGCCCTCCTCGGAGTTGTCTTACTCATAGATGGTGGTGCACAAGGTCGGGAACATCATTTCAGGTGGGAGGACTACTTCGGTCCCGAACACCAGGCTGAACGGAGATTCCCCCGAGGTGGTTTTGGGAGTTGTTCGCATTGACCATAGGACGCTAGGGAGCTCATCCACTCAGGCTCCGCATGCACCCGAGACCCTCTTCTTGAGGCCCTCCAGGATCGCCCGATTCATTACTTCAGCCTGACTGTTGGTCTAGGGGTGTGTGACCGAGCTGAACCTCAATTATATCCCATATGACTAGCAATAGGCCTTGAATTTAGTGTTGTTGAATTGAGCTCCATTGTCGGTGATAATAGACCTCGGGATTCCGAACCGGGTAATAATGTTATTCCATGTGAAGCCTTGAACTTGTTTCTCGGTGATGGAGGCTAAGGGTTCAGCTTCAACCCACTTCGTGAAGTAGTCGACTCTGACTATAAGGAAGCGTCGTTGTCCCGAAGCTGGAGGAAAAGGCCCGAGGAGGTCAAGTCCTCATTGGGCGAAGGGCCAGGCCGCATCCATCGGGGTACGAGGCATCGCCAGCTGGTGTTGCAGCCTGGCGTGCCTTTGACACTGTTGGCACCGCTGCACATATGATATGGCATCCTAGCGCATGGTCGGCTAATAGTACCCCTGTCTAAGGGTCTTGAAGGCCAAGGTTCGACCCCCGATGTGCTCCCCACAAATCCCCTCGTGGAGTTTGGCAAGGACCGTTTCAGCTTCTGATGGTGCGAGACAGCGCAAGAGAGGTTGAGAGAAAGCTCTCCGGTACACTTTCCACCAACCATGCAGTACTAGGCTTGGGTTCACCTCAGTCGTCTTGCGACCATCAAGTTGTCGGGCTGCATCCTGTCCTCCTTGAAGCGGAGGATTTCTTTCATCCAGTTCGGCGAGACCTCTATTTTGGCGACGCCATGGGTTGGTATTGTCGGTGCCGTTATGGATTCAGTTGCTGGGGTTGCCACCAGGCTACGAGCGGAGGCCGATCTGGCCAATGCATCGGCCTATGTGTTCTGTGCTTGAGGTACTCTAGTGACCGAGAGGCGGTTGAAGCGATGGGGGAGTTGTTTCACTTCTGTCAGGTATAACGCCATTGTCGGGTCCCGAGCTTCATAGTTGTCGTTGACGTGTCCCGTCACCAGCTGGGAGTTGTTGAAGACCTCGAGATTGCCCACATGCATCTCTAGGGTGAGGCGTAGGCTGTGGAGTAGCACCTCGTACTCGGCCTCATTGTTGGTGGCCCGTAATTGTAATCGAAGCGATCTCTTGTAGGTTTCTCCAGATGGGCTTTTGAGGATAAGTCCGACCCCGGCCATGTCGGCAGTGGCCGAGCCATCCACATGCAGGGTCCATGTGCTCTCGTTGTTCCCTTGTCCAATAGCATGATCTTCAGGAGTCAGCTCGGAGATGAAGTCAGCCAGTACTTGGGCTTTGGAGGCCATTCTAGGGGAGTATTGAATGTCGAATTCACTGAGCTCAACCGACCACCGCAGCATTCGACCCGACGCATCGAATTTGGAGAGGATTTGCTGCAACGGTTGGTCGGTTATCACTTTGATCATGTGAGCTTAGAAATATGGTCATAGCTTTCGGGTCGTCTTTATCAATGCGAAGGTCAGCTTCTCGATCGGGGAATACTACACCTCGAACTTGACGAGAACGTGGCTGACATAATAGACAGGTTGTTGTGTTGGTGGCGTTTCCCGAGTTAACACCGAGCTAACTGCCTACGCCGAGGCTGCCAGGTAAAGACCGAGGGTCTCGCCCGGCTCGGGCAAGGCAAGTCGGGGCAAGCGAGCGAGGCATGCCTTTAACTTTTCGAAGGCTTCCTTGCATTCCAAGGTCCATGTGAAGCTGTTGGCCTACCGCAGAGCTCGGAAAAAGGGGAGGCACTTGTCGCCTGATCGCGACACGAACCTGCAAAGTGCCCCCAACTTCTCGGCGAGGCGCTGCACCTCCTTGATCGAGCGGGGGGGGATGCATCTCGGTTATGGCTCGAACCTTTTCTTGGTTGGCATCTATCCCTCTCTGGTGGATGATGAAATCGAGGAATTTTCCCGAGCTGACCCTGAAGATGCACTTCGCGGGATTCAAGAGCATGTTGAACCACTTGAGTGTTTGGAATGTCTCCGCCAGGTCGGCCAGGTGTGTGCTTGCATCCTTGCTCTTCACGATCATGCTGTCCACATACACTTCCTTATTCCTCCCGAGCTGTTGCTTGAATAGCTTGTCGACCATTCTTTGGTAGGTTGCCTCAGCATTTTTTAGGCCGAAAGGCATTACTTTGTAGCAATACACTCCTCTGTCGGTGATGAAGGTAGTGTTCTCTTGATCTTGTGGTGCCATCCGGATTTGGTTATAGCCCGAGAATGCGTCCATAAACGTAAGGAGTTCATAGCCTGCGGTGGCGTCGACCAGTTGGTCTATCCTTGGGAGTGGATAGCAGTCTTTGGGGCATGCCCGGTTGAGATCGATGTAATCAACGCACATCCTCCAGCTTCCATTGGGTTTCTTAACGAGGACTACATTCGACAGCCACCGAGAGATTTTCACCTCGGTAATAAATCATGCCTCTTTAAGGCGGTCGACCTCGTCACCGATTGCCTTCTGTTGGTTGGGAGCAAACTTCCTTGGCCTTTGCTTCACCGGCCTAGCCTCGAGGTCAATGTTGAGTTGGTGCTGGGTCACCCCTAGGTCGATCCCGAGCATCTCCTTGGGGGACCATGCAAACACATCAGCATTTTCCCTCAAGAAATCGATGAGCTGGAGTTGATTTGCTTCGGGGAGTTTCATTCCGATTTTTATGGTCAAATCGGGTCGGTTCCTTTTCAAGGGTACCTCGGTGAGTTGCTCGGGGGGCTCTAGATGCATCGGTGCCATGACTCCTTCACGGGGATCTGAGACTTGACAGGGGTGTGACTTCTCCGGGAGTGTAACTGTTGTAAGGTAGCACCGTCTTGATTCTCCCAGATCGCTTTGGGCTCCCCGACCCCCGTCGAAGTCAGAAATTTGATGGCTCGGTGGTAGGTGGAAACTATCGCTTTCAATTTGTTGAGCGTCGGGCAGCCGAGGATGACATTGTAGGCCGAGGGCAGATCGACTACCATAAAGGTGGTCATCGTCGTCTTGGTTCTCGGCTCTTCTCCATTGTGACGGGGAGTGTGGTGGTCCTGAGTGGGGAGATGGAATCTCCGGTAAATCCAGCGAGCGCCAAGTTCATGGGAGTGAGGTCCTCCTTGGTCAAGCCGAGCTTTTTGAAGGCATCGAGGTATAGCATGTCGATGGAGCTCCCGGTGTCGACCATTACCCTTTTGACCCGAGCATTGGCGATCCGGATGGAGATCACCAAAGCATCGTCGTGATGGGAGCGCTCGACCTCCTTGGCTTCGAAAGTGATTTCAGGCTCGAGCTCGGGTCAGGGATGTTTTTCTACCGTGCTTCGGGCTTAGGCCTTTCTCACCATCGAGCTGCTGTCGCCGACTGTCGATCCCTTGGTAATGACGTCGATCTACCTCTCGACAGGTCCTCGATGGCACGGTGTTGCTTCTCAGGGTTCCTTGATGTAGCGCTCGAGATGACCTCTTCGGATTAGCTCCTCGATTTGGTTTTGGAGGTCATGGTAGTCTTCCATGTCATGGTCGTAGTCTCCTTGATTTGGAGAAAGATCTCAGTACGGGACGTATTCAGAGGCAGAGGCAGGGGCCTCGGGAGTAATAGCTCGGGCCGATTGGGCCTCCTGTGAGGTTGCAATGAGGGCGCCGAAGCCACTCCTCGGGCTTGCTCCACCCTCGGCCTCTTGTTGTTCTCACGTCTTCCTGCCATTAGGGCTTCAGCGGTGATGTACTGGTTGGCGAGCTGGAGCATCTTGGGGATGGTCGCGGGCGACTTCTCAATGAGCAACTAAAAGAACCTCAAGGGCCTCAAGCCCATCAGGAACGCCTGCATGATTAAAGAAGGGTGATCGTCCGGGAATCCCCGAATTTCAACGGTAAAGCATGCCACGAATTGGGAGAGTGGTTCGCCCTCATGTTGAGATAACACGAGCAGGGTGGCGATGGAAGTCTTGGGTTGCACGCTATCTAGGAAGTTTTGCTCGAACTCCCTTGTGAGTTGTTCAAATGATGAGACCGAGAACAGGTGCAGTCGGCTGAACCATGCTCGTGCCGGTCCTCGGAAGGTGGTCGGGAATGCCTAGGGCATCAAAGGTGCCATAGAGGGCCATCTGAGCCTGAAACGCAATGACATGCTCTGCGAGGTCGGAGCCACCATCGTACGTTTCCAATGCTGATAGCCTGAAGTTGAGTGGCACAGGCTTGTCTTGTATCTCCTGAGTAAAGGGGAATCCACTCGAGCTACCTTCGCCCGTATCGCCCTGCAAGTTCTGGAATTCACATTGGAACTCATCCAAGCGTCGGTTGACCCTGGACAACTGGATCCTGAATGAGTCGTTTGTTGAGTCGGATAATATGGTGTCTAGCTCGGGGTGGGGCGAAGCAATCCGGTAGGGTGCGAGCGTGCTCTACTCGGGTAGTCCTCTCGGGTTTGCTGTCTGTTCTTAGGTTTCTGCTGTCCCGAGCTGCTCCTCACTTGGCCTTTGCTACGTCGGGTCGGTTGGGGGAGTTACAAGTTGCACGATCTGTGGTATGAGCGAGACAATCGTCTGCATCATTCCCGCCAAGGCCTGTACCTGCTTGGTCAGGCCGAGGAACGCCTCGAGCGAAACGATCGAGGGTCCCGTGGTGTGTCCGGGAGGAGAAAACCCCGGATCGTTAAATAGGCGCCAGTAGTGATCTGGCGTCGAGGTTGGGATTCCTTCGTCTCTAAGGATGAGGGGTGGCTAATCTTTGAGTCCGGTAGGGGGGGTGACCGGCTGGTAGTTCTCCCTCAGGGAGAGCTCCTGCAAGATGCTCCTACAACATGGCCCTCCTTCTAGTATCAAAAATGTTGAGGAACTAATGCGTCGTGGCTGATGAGTCAGCACGCCCTTATCCACAGGCTGATGTCGGGAGTCTTCGGTCGGTTGAGCTATCTGCCGAGGTCGATCACGCCCTCAGGACGGGGCGTCGGCACCAGAATATTGATTGACGTCTCTCTATCGGGATGTTGGTTAGTGCACCGAGAGGAAAAACGCCTCTCTCGATTGGGATGATCTCGCCTCGGGCGTAATCGCTTTCCTACACATAAGGCCCTCGTCGGGTGGTTATCGACTGTGGCCCTTCGACAAGTAAGTCAACGTTTGGTTCCTATTTTTTGCCTCCCCCTAGCCAAATGCCGGCCAAGGGTTCCTATACTACTATACAAGGGTCAGCTGTACGTGGGTTTCGCGTGCAACCGATCCTCGGGTGGAGGGGGGGGGAAGTATCTTCGCGCGACCGTCATCCCAGAAGTGTGGAACGGCGCCATACGGTGTTGTCTCGAGCTTTCCGGGACGAGACGTACCGAGGAATGCCTTGGTATGGGTCTTGACCGGCGCGTGGGAGAGCTTCTCCTGCTAACCTGGCGATGGTATGATGGGACGTCGGTGGTGACGTGGCTAGGGCCTAATATCACTAATAATGATATTTGTTTGGCTGCAGGAGGATTTTTTTTATTCGGATGAAGATTGAGTGAGATGGTGACAATCGTGGAATGTATCCAAATCGCTATGCATGGAGTGATTATTAAACTTATCATCAGGTAGATTAAGAAATAATCATTTGCATCGTTATTACAAAGGTGGATCCATCCTTAGAATTACTCAATATAACAAGAGATGTCATGCATATTTTTAAATATTTTCATTGAATATTATATCGAGTATATATATATATATATATATATATATATATATATATATA